ATCATCCAGGCTGGAGTAGAGTGGCGCTTTCACAGCTCACTGCTGCCTTGACCTCCTGGGCTGAGGTGATCCTCCTGCCTAAGTCTCCTGAGTAGCTGGGACTACAAGCATGTACCACCATGCCTGGCTGTTTTTTTTTTTTTTTTTTTTTCTTTTTATTACTTTTTGTATAGATTGAGCCTAGCTATGTTGCCTTGGTTGGTCTTGAACTCCTGGGCTCAAGCAATACAACTGCCTCAGCCTCCCAGAGTGCTGGGATTACAAGCATGAGCCACCATGCCCTTTGGAGAATGTTCAAGAGTCAAAGTGGAATTAAGGACCATATTGTCTCCTAACCGGTTCAATATTCTAATGATTCTGTAGAGCAGGATGAATCTTAATCTAATTGGATTTAAGTACAATTCCACAACAGCCAGTCCTAGAAGCTCCTTCTGGAGAACTCTACATAGTGCCGTGGGCTATTTCTACCATTCTTCACCACCTTACCTCCAGCAGTGACCAAGTCTTTCAGATAAACCTGGGAGCCCTGGAGTTGGAGGTAGGGAAGGACAGCATGAAGGAAGGAGAACCTGTGACCTGGGACAGAACAGAGTTCTTAGAGCTCGCCATGATTGTTGATCTTGGGGTCTGGACTAGCTTTGCTTCCTTCAAGGTCCTGGATCTGCTGGGTCCCAGCATATCCCAGAGCATTGTGTGAGTCTGTTACCACAATCCCCACTGTTCCTGTGTTCCTGTGAGGCTTCAGTGGGGCCAAGGTTTCTTTGCTCCAGTTCGTTCTTTCTTCTTGGGACTTTGCTCTACCCTAAGCGGGGGGGGGGGGGAGGGGGGGGAAGAAAAGAAAGACAGAAAAAGAGACAGTAGATAGCCCACTGGTCTTAAAACATTCATGTCCCAAGAATCAGTTACATTCATCAGTTTTTATCACCACATAGCATAAAATACATAGTTCCTGCATAGGGTCCTGGGCTATTTCTATATCTGTGCCTTCTGCCTTTCTTTACTGCTTGCCCTGTGACCGTGACCAAGTCTTTCCGATAAACCTGGAAGGCCCTGGAGTTCAAGGTGTGGGGAAAGGAAGCTTGAAAAGGGAAGCTATCACCTGGGGTAGAACTCAGTTCTCAGGGATTGCCATGTTGCTGGAAAACCATAAAAATCTAGTAGGCTTCCAGGACAAAAGTGAATTTCAAAGTGGGGATAAGGGCAAGAACTCTGAAAGATGAGAAGAAAAAGTTCCAAAAAGTGACCGTTGACCATACTGAGATTAAGCCAAAAATTAAGATGTCAATGTAAAGCAGGACACATTTGATAAAGAATGGTCTCGTGGGATAAAAATTCAATGATTTCTTGAGGAATGTTCCCATTGAACTTCAAATTGGTTAAAAAAAAAAAGCCTCAGTATCTGAGGACTATCAAAGAAATTCAGAATTAAATAAATAAAACACTGTAAACAAAATGAATATGGGAAAACTTTACCATTTTCTCGTATCCTAGAGAATATGAAACAATTCATTTTAGAGAAAAACATCTTGAGTCTGACAGTGGTTTAGCTTGTATCATGTGGTAAGTATTAAACTGTGTTAACAAATTTGGTCTGAGAAAGATTATAGGGGAAGAGTCCAGAGGAAATGATTTATGCTGGCCCTTCATATATGAGGAGTAAATATGGGGAAATATTTACTTGTGTAGTATTTATTTTGGTATATAGCAAATACCCATTTATTGAGCACCTGCTCTATAGAGTCAGCCCTCTGTCTCAGTAGGCGTCACATCCATGGATTCAACCAACTGTGGGTTGAAAATGTTAAAATAAAATAAAAAGTAGCATTACAACAATAAAAAAAATACAAATTTTAACAACCAATACAGTAGACCAGCGATTTGTATAGCATTTACATTGTGTTAGGTATTATAAGTAATTTGGAGATGTGTGTAGGTTATATGCAAATAGTTTGCTATTTTATATCATAGACTTAAGCATCTATGGATTTTGGGAGTCCTGGAATCAATCCTTTGCTTAATATCAAGGAATAACTATATACTAACCTTGCCTTGTGACATGCATTTTCTGTCACCTTGTAACATTAAAGAATGATGTCATTACTCTCGTGTTAGACATGGGAAAACATGAGACTTATTGAGACTAAGGAATTTTCTCAGTTCACTCTGCTAGTAGCCAGCAGAATCAACATTCAAACTCATCTGTATACCTCACCCTGAATTGTACCCCACATACTTAAAATAAAAAATTTTTTTAAAAATCAAATTCAGATCTACTTGGAATCCCCTGAATTTCAATTCACGACAGGTAGCTCTAGAAAAAAAAAAAATTCCCCGTTCAAGTTAATTAATGTGAAAAATACCTTCCACATTGCAGACACACTTGCTTTAGCTAGATAGAGCTGAAGTGAGTTGAGGTAATCAGAAGTAACTGACATTTGGCCCCTTTGGTTAGTTATCCTTGGGTCTTTCTCTAGCTACTAAGCTCTTTTATCCTGGTTCTATTCCCCCCACACCCCCAACTGTACACCAGTCTGAGTTTGGAAGTAGAGTTCCTGAAGTAAAGATATTAAAGGATAGGTATCTGCCATTCTTCTTTCCTACTTATATGTTCTACCATGCTGATTCCCATGTAAACCGCCATACTAACAGTAAATGGTTCATCATGTTAAAGGAGGTGAGGCAAAGAAGGAAGCACATTCCAAGCTGCTGTCTCAATCTAAGAACATAAAATTGTTATCTGTAACCCTGGAATTATGTGGCAACTTTCATTATCCTTTTACGTTCTTTTTTCCTTTTTTTTTGAGTTCAAGTCTCACACTGTCGCCCAGGCTGGAGTGCAGTGGCACACTCCCAACCACTGCAGCCTCAAGTTGGTGGGCTCTGGCGATTCTTCTGCCTCAGCCTTCCAAGTAGCCTGAACTACAGGCACGCGCCACCACTCCCGGCTAATTTTTGATTTATTGTAGAGACGAGGTCTCACCAAGTTGCCTGAGCGGGTCTCGAACCCTCAGGCTCAGGCAATCCACTCACCTTGGCCTCCCAAAGTGCTGGGATTATAAACTGAGCTAACGAGCCCGGCCTCTTTCTTTCCTTTTTCAGTGTTCCCCTTTTCTGCTACTTAAATATTTGAAAAGTTGATAAAAGTCAGTAAAACACCTAACAGTTTCTATGAGGTCCTCAGCAGAGTTGTACATTAAAAGTTTATGTTTTACATTGATGAAAAAATACATGCCACAGTTAAACTCTGTGTCCTCCAACTAATAAAAGAAAGACACTGAAAAAGAAAGGAAAGACCATGCTAGCATTAAAACAAAAAACAAAAACTTGGATCTATTCTTTTGTAAACAGAAACTGTCCTGAATAATGGATGGACCTACTCAGGAAAACAGCATTTCTAGTGGTGAAACTGAGTTTGATTAAGACTGCATCTTAATTAAAAGGGCACCTGTTATGGTGCCAGTTGCTGTATAAAATGGTGCAGTCCATTTGGACAGTAGTTTGGAATAGAATGTAAAAAGGTCTTAATAATTCATGACTGACACATGCTACCTCTGGGAATCTAGCCTTAGGAAAGCATTCTAAATAGAAAAGGCTTTATGTACAAAGATTTTTTTCAAAGCACAATTTTTGTCATATTGAAAAAAAATTGTAAACCTAAATGTCCAAAAGGGTGAATGATTGAGATAATTTTTTAAATGGTGGGTCAAAAAAGAGTGTCACATGAAAAACGATATTACTTTAAAAACTGGATAACAATTCAATATATGATGGAAATAAAATTCCATCATATAGCTCTGGAAATAAAATTCATATATTTAAGGAAATGCCAAGCAAAAAATGGAAACATCATCATGCTATCAAGGATAGTGTTTCAGTGTAGAACTATGGATAACTTTTATTTATATATTTTTTAATTCACATATTTCCATGCTAACAGTAGTAGCCCTTGTGTCATTAAAAAAGTATAATGGATACCAAGAACTGGCTTTGAAATACTTAAATCCACTTCTTGTCTACTGGGCCTGTATCCAAAATTTAGTCTTCCTTTCCCAATCTGAAAATTGTGAGTAGATATAAGTAACTTCAGGGGTCTTAGCTCAGTCCCATACCCCCATAACAATCGAGTAGGAAAAATTAACTGTGGACAACTTGGAAGCGAAGATGGGTTCTCTCTGTTCCAAAGCCCCTTCCTTGTCTTCCCAGGCAAGTCCAGGTGAAGTGCTCATTGAATAAGGGAGAAACTGCTCAGAAGAAACCACTTACCCATCCTGTGAAAGAAACACAACACCAGTTAAAACAGTATCTCTTTTCACCACTTCTGTGCTCACCTATTTTTTCATCTTGTGGATATTGCTTAGAGAGAGGACATTCCTCTGTAAATTTTCAAAGCATCACATAATGAAGGAGAGCTTAATTAATGTTATCAGCATTAATGGCTAAGCAAACTCAAGGAGGAATAATAAAATAAAAGGTCATTGCTTTCATTACTCCCTGCAGCCATGAGTAGTAGTTGCCATAGTTGTAGCACATATTCTCTGGTTCTTTTTTCATTCAAAATATTGTGTCTTTTGGAATTATGTTCTTAATGATTAATGAAGGTAGATGTTTGGGGTAGAGAAACAGTTACTAAGTTCTCTCCACCAAAACAAAAGAACTAGACATTTTAATCATGTTTTGTGTTTCCTGATTTCCAGTTGCTACACGCTGCTGTGTTGTAAACACGTATTTCCGCAGTTCATCTTCACCTTCGTTATTTGTCGTGCTTTCAAAGAGAATAATGGCCTTTCTGTAGTTCAGAAATGGGTGGCATGTTGCTGAGAGCGAGAAGATTTCATGTGTTGCGAATACTAACAAGCTGCTTTGTAATAAAGAATCATTGCAAAAAAAAAAAAAAAGAATGATTACAGTAGTCATTCAGTATATCTTTGTCTTTGGGTAGGGGGAAGAATGGACTCTGTTGATTCTTTTCTTTTATTTCTCCCTTCCTTTTCCCACTTTAGACAAAGCCCGTTGCATTTGCAGTTCGGACAAATGTCAGCTACAGTGCAGCCCATGAAGATGATGTTCCGGTGCCAGGCATGGCCATCTCATTTGAAGCAAAAGATTTTCTGCATGTTAAGGAAGTAAGGAAAATAACTTCAATTTCTAGCAACATGATTTTCACCTTGACATGTCATTTCCTATTTCTTATTGCTGTGAAATAGCATTGCATATAGTTTCAGTTGTATAACATACATTCTAAATCAGTGGCTCTCTGCCTTTGCTGATATAAATGTACCATTTAAAGTAGAAAGAAGTCACAGGACTCTTGCAATAACTTCACAGCTCCCTTGGGCTCTGTGGCCCAGAAACTGAGAACTGCTAGAGTAGATGATCCTTTTTTATGCTCAACCTGTACTTTTTCTTTTAATGTTTCACCTTGACTATGTGTAATTTTTTTTCTGATGTCTGAAGTTTAGCCATCTGGGGAGGATTTAATAATAATATCTAGAATTCATGACTCTCTGCTGTGATGACACTATCTAAACTCAGATTGCTGGTCCTCTTGTTTCTCTTTAGCTGCTAAATTTCTGCAGTGAAGGGAGAATGGTAAGAATTGGAGCCAACGAATCAAGAAACAGATATCAGGAAAATTCCTTTTCTTCCATGCCAAAGGTCTCCACCTTTCAGTTAGCAATGACACAACCTGGAAATTAGAAAAATTTATCAGATGCTTGCTATATAGAGCACTGTGTTAAGTGACCAGAAATCCCCCCATATGATATTCTCAATGTGTGAGCATGAGGGTTTTTTGGGGGAACCTGGAGGAATTTACAGTTGGAGCCCTTCCCTCGAGGGGATGACATGTCATAGGGAGCATGCGTACATTCAACACTAAAGGGTGTGAGCAAAGGAGGTAATGGCTGACAATTAAGAGCCCAGAGAATGTAGAACCTCTGAAAAGATTCAAAGGCTACCATTTCAGTAGCCTTTGAAGAGTTATGAAATACTGGCTAATTGGGAAAGATGTAAAAAGTTTTCAGAAGTGATTTTCTAGAATCTCACTTCACGACAGGAAGTTAGATGAATACAGGGTCCCCTCTCCATGGCTGATGCTGAAATGATGATCTCTATCTCTTTCTACCATGAAAGGAAAAGAAAAACAGATTAGATGTTCTTCTTTGACGTACTCAAAATAGACTTATTCAGTTAAGGAAAATGAAAACAAATTCTAAAGATTCAAGATAAAAAATTCCACCTGCAAGAGATAGATTGTCAACATTAGTATAAGTAGAGAAATCATCTATGAATATCATATTATGTAATTATAAAACTGTTTTCACCAAGGCAAATTTTTCTGTGACACGGAGTATTTAAGGTAGAGTTCAATATTTATCTCTTTCTCTTAATACTTCTTATTAATCTGATTGTATACATGGAAGATCTCTGTATCACTTTGTAGTTCCTAATGGTCTCTTGGTAGGAAGGGCTGTTAATCCTTGAACCCAGAGAGCTTATTCTACTCCTGGTGAAGGAACTGCTGCAGTGGAATTCATCCTGGTCCAGAGGCAGCACCAGGAAAGAGAAAGAAGTATAAAGCCTTCGATGGATTGCTGGGAACACCAAAATATTTCACTCTTACATGCTAAACCCGTGGATCAAACAAAAAGTTTCTGGAACTGTGATATATGAGGCACAATTCATTGTCATTGCCTTATTTCTTTCCACTGAAAATAGTTCATATGAAAGAACAGTTCAAAAATTTGAACTTCCATGTACTGATTTTAATCCTTTGGATTTTGTGTTTAGAAATTTAACAATGACTGGTGGATAGGGCGATTGGTTAAGGAAGGCTGTGAAATCGGATTCATTCCAAGCCCGGTCAAACTAGAAAACATGAGGCTACAGCATGAACAGAGAGCCAAGCAAGGGAAATTCTACTCCAGGTATGAGATGAACATCAAGTGTTTGTGTGAAAGTTGAGATTGATGTACTGTTGTTTGCTGTAGTCTTCAATCCTTTTTATGTGTTAAAAAGTAGACTGGTAATAGGGTTTATCGGTAGTATCGCAAATCCTGCATTTTAAAAACTTCATCCCAGCATCTGATTTTCATCCTACTTGGGAAAGAATCAAATTAATTATCATCATTAATGAAAATAGCTACAGCCATAAAGTATGAAATTCAAGCTTCCATACTGAGGAAATTCTGAAGTCTTAATCATTTACTGAGAAATACTCTGGCACAGCAGAGCTGTGGTGACTAATCCCAGTGTCTGTAGCTGCCTGGCATGGCAGGGAGATGATTTAGAGATGATGGCCTCAGAGATCATCAGGAAACGGCAGCTCTTGTCATCTGTGAGTTTCATTTTCACCGGAGAAACTCAATTTTGAGTTCTACCTACTGTTAGGCACTTAAAGAGAAGTATGAAACATGAAAACTGCCTTTGCAGATAGCAATTAGATGAGTTATGTAATAAGCAAGGGCTGAATAATTCTTCCTAGGATTTTTGAGGTTGTTTACCTCTCATTAAAAGAATCACTAAAAGGGCTACCTGTACATGTAGTGAATTTTAAATTGAATCCTTTGCAGACAAGTGCAAGTCTTATCTCTTGCTATGTGAAAAGATGGGATACAGATAAGACTTTTCTTTAATATGAATAGCATTTCTGTTTTATCTGCCTTATGTCTATTTTGTTTATATAATGATGCAAATTCCTTGGTCAGGGATAGTATTTTAATGTTAGCGAGACTTTGTTTTTCTAGTGGCAGCAGATGAGTGAAAAAGAACACGCTTTTTGGTTTGAAATACCCATGCTCAATTAACTAGCATTTTATAATTTTCAAGTTCATTGAGTTCAGACAAGTTCTTCTGTGTTTTAAGACCTTTATCCCAGAAGTTGACTTTCCTGGGTTTGAAACATTCATGCTCATTAACTAGCATTTTTTAATTGTCAAGTTCACTGAATTCAGATGGATTGTTCTGTGTTTTGAAACCTCTAGCCCAGAGTTGACTTTCCTAGGTCACTGGGACACTTGGATTGTGAGATGCATTTAGTCATATAAAAGTACAGGCATGTAGGTAAACAATGCATGTGCATTATGCCTGCGGGGTGTTTGAAGATCGGATACTATTCTTTCAGTCTTTAGTATTTTATTTGGCTTTATTGTGTTTTTTGTTTTGTTTGTTTTGTTTTTACTCTCTGTACTGATAATGGTATCTTAATGCCAGCTAATATAATCTTATAATGTGGAAAAATTGCATTTTCATAAGGCATAAACATTGCTAACATTAACTAGCTGTATATTGTTGAGTAAGGTTTGAAGTTCTCTCAGCTGGAGACATTTTGTTTTGTTTTCAGTTAAGGATATTTCAGCATTTCTCAGAATTTTCTTGTTGAATCACTTGAGAGAGGGGGTTCCATGGTCAATTAAGTTTAGGATAGTACTAAGTAACAGAAAGGTTTTTAAGGATTTTTCAAAGTCTTTAATATGTTAATGTGAAGTGTGAATCTATGTGGTGGAATGGAAATATTTTTCAAGTACAGTGTTTACTAAAATGACTTTCTTTAAAAACTCCATGGTTCATGTCTTAGAAATTGTGTTAAACAGAATGCATTTTAGAAAATTTGGGAAGACAAAGGCATTCCTAAATTAACCAAGTTAGATCTTCCATGTTAGTCATGCTTGAGAAATGTCCTGGGTATTATCTGATGGTTAAATCATATAATACTCTGTCGTGTTTGTTCATATGTCTTTTAAAGGTTAGCAAATTTTACTATTGCTCTGTCGTCCTTTTATAGGTTGCCCATGAAAGCCTGAGTACTTTCAGTCTTAGAACACTAAAAATAATCAAGCCTAAGATAAAGGAGCTGGACCCCAACAAGAAGGAAACATTAAGTTCGGATATAGCCTTAAGGTTCTATACTTGGCCGCTGAGGTCTCTAATATAAAAAGGAAAGGAAATCTCTGCTATTCAGCTGTCTGTGATCTAGGCAGAGAACTTGAGAGCTGCATAAATTACCCTAGTTCTCTTCCACCTTTCTCAGGACCTTTTTAACTTAAGCCTTGAATTTGAAAACAGAGACCATCACGTGGCTGTCTCAAGTACTCTAGGAACCTCTACTCGGAAATTATTGTTTGCCTCCTTGAGGGAAGCATTAAATATAAAGTTGAATAAAAACACCTAAATTATCTTGTTTATTGAATAATACAAATGATTTAGGATCCAAAATAAGTGTCATATTTAATAGAAGTTTTTGCTTTACTCCAGTAAATCAGGAGGAAATTCATCATCTAGTTTGGGTGACATGGTACCTAGTTCCAGAAAATCTACACCTCCATCGTCTGGTAAGTAGGTGATAAGTGCTGAATAGAACATGCTGCATCTCATGCTTTCCCTGGTCTTATCAAGCGTTGTGAATTTCTATACACTGACTCACTTTGTTAACCCTGCAGATGTTATTTAAAGGATCAGAAATGAGGAAGCCCTGTGGAGTTAGAAACAATATGGGGAAACTTCTTTTTTTTTTTTTTTCTGGCTTAGAAAAAGAAAAAAGGAAGCTTGTCAGAGAAGTTGCTGTAGATGATCACCGTAATGAGTATATGGAATTTTTGTTTTGTTTCGTTTTGTTTTGTTTTGGAGAAAGCAGGATTTATTGAGAGGACAGGAAAGTTCCCACAGTGGGAGGGGTCCTGAGGGGGTTGCCCGAGTATATTGAATTTTTCATCCCTAATCTGCACAATGATGCTTAGTACCATGTCATGGGCAGTAAAGGGGTAAATGCCTACCAACAAATATAGTGCTACATAAGGTGTGGGCTTCAGTGTTAAATAGAAGAGGAGAAGGATCAAAACTTTACAAAGGTGAGGAACAGAGAATAAATTGAATAAATGGGTTGACTGGCCTGCTATGAACTACTCAAAAAGTGTCTATGGGAGACGCAGACAAGAAGTATAGGAAAAAGATGAAAATGCTTATGGGAAGAGGAACTACTGTTTTCTTTCCAGGGTAGTGGATTCATTCTTATGTTTGCTAGATAAAATAATGGATACTCAGTTATATATCAATTTCAGATAAACAGTGATTGACTTTTCAGTATCAGTATATTACATAGGACATACTTAATACTAAGAAATTATAGGATATGCTTATACTAAAAAATTAATGTTTATCTGAAATTCAGTTTTTCTTTTTTATTCAGTGTCTCACTGTGTCACCCAAGCTGGAGTACAGTGGCACAATCATGGCTCATTGCAGCCTCAACCTCCTTGGCTCAGGTGATCCTTCCATCTCAGTCTCATAAGTAGCTGGGACTACAGGCAAGCACCACATGCCCAGCTAATTTTTTTATATTTTCGTAGAGACCAGGTCTTACTATATTGCCCAGGCTGATCTTAAACCCCTGACCTTGAACGATCCTCCCACCTTAGCTTCCCAAAGTGCTGGAATTATAGGATTGAGCCACTGCACCTGGCTGAAATTGAAATTTAAACTACATTTATATTTTCTATATATGACAATTCTACCAATTGGTTTAATTGCACAAGGCCTGTAATCAGTGTCTTAGTTTGCTAAGAGATATCACTGGGAGTCAGAGAAAGATTGTAAAGACTGGCTGCCAGGGCATTTGAACAAAATGATTCTGTTTGATTTTTAGGAAGCTTGAAATGCGAAGGGATAAAAAACAGAATTGTGCATCTGTGGAGAAATTAATAAACTAGTCACACTAGTGATTGGTGTGTGTGATTATTAGTAATTTCCCTGTGTGATTATTAGTGATTTCTCTACTATTAATAATCACACCTCCATTCCCGATCATTGGCAGCTTTTAGAGATCAATCAAGGACTTCTTAGCAAAAAACTATAAGACTTTTTAAGTAAGCAAAATTTGAGCACAATAAGAAATAAATTGTTTTAGAATGCATATTGATTTTTAAAACTATGTACTTATAACTTGCAGCAATTCTAAGCAGCTCAAAATTAAGTAAAATAGTGGGCCTAAAATTAAAATTGAAGCCCTAGATGCTTATATCTACCCTTGATCATCAACGAGTAGATATTCCCCGAATGCACAGGGAAAGGAGCCTTATCCTGTTCCCTCTCCAACATGTGAAGTTGCAGGGATTACTATATAAACCTTATAGTCTTCTGATACATCTTAGACTATTTCATCAACTCCTGAGGATTGTTACTGGGCCTATAAAATGGCAAAATGCTGCATCACATGCTGCTACAAAAGTGCACTCGTGTCTGAGATGTCAGCTGTATTGTGCACACTGAAAAATTATTTCATTCCCTCTATCATATTGTAGCCCTCCGATCACATTGGCACTACAGATGCTTCTTGACTTACGATGGGGTTGCAGCCCCCCGCTTCAATAAACCCATCGTAAACTGAAATCATAAGCTGAACCATCATAAGTCCAGATGTCCTTACAGTGGGGCTTACATCCGACTAAGTCAAAACATTTTAAGTCGAACCATCGTTAAGTCATGGACTGTCTGTATAATGAGAGGAGTTTCATACAACTGGAAGAATAAGCTAGGAGATATGTAAAATAGCATTTTATTTTGTAGCCAGATGCTTGCTATTACTAAAAATAAAGTTCCATGAAGATTTAATATAAAAATCAAGATCATTTAAAACTTCACCAAGGCTTTATACAGATACAGATCTTTGGAATAACTTTTTTGAATACCAAGAGTAGAAAACACTTGTGTCTAACTTGACTGGAGATGTAACCAACCACAAAATATATCATCAGCACCACTGGACTCTGAGGTAATTTTCATATCAATAACTAGACTGATCTAAAGGAAAGCTTCAGAAAATTCTAGAGAGAGGTTGCCCCAATCTGCCTCCAGGGACAGCTATTCCACCTATCAAGTATGCCCTGGCTGCAATTGTAATTTTCATTTTCTTTGTGTCCCAGAGGCCCTGTCTACTTTCCCTCACCCATTGCTAGACCACAGAATATAAATATCTGCAGAAAGTATATGTACTTGGATATTCTCAAGGTCTTGGAAAAGGAGAAATTTCTACTTCACTTCTGGGTAATTGTGTTGTAGCTAGTTGTACGACACATCACACACCTACGTGTGTGTGTGTGTGTGTGTGTGTGTGTGTGTGTATGTATACACAAATGTCACCCTGGAACTCTCACAACTTGACCCAGATTCTAAGACTAATATTTAAATTTCAAAAAATGTTCCCTAGGTTCTCTATCAATAATAATAATAATAATACATGCATACTAGTGAGGAAGAAAGAAAGAAACTTATATATGAAGGCAGTTTTTCCCAACCAAATACTAATGTTTGTTAAGGTGTGGAAATACAAGCATAAAATTTTTTAAAGGGTCACATCTCTCAATAAAAGGAGAACTATCTGAGTCTAATAAACTATATAGAGCTCTGAACAGAGTTGAAAATACTTAACTGTCTTATAAACTTCTTTAATGTGTTCTGAAAGTGACCACATGTTTCAGAATTCTCTATATTTCAGAATGAACCCTGATACTTTTAGATTTAATTTAACCAAATGTCAGAATGAGTAAGTTGAGATTTGGAACCTGTACGTCCAGATACAAATAAATTCCATACTTGACTCAGGCTATGTACATGGACAGCCAAGCTTCTGGGCAATGTCACAGCTACACATTGATACATTTTTCCCCCTCTCTTTAAAAAGAAATTGCATCCCCTGACCACAGCAGACCGGATTCAAGGGACAAATCATAAAATTCACCTCAGAAACTTTATTATCCCAGGGTTCTGTGAACTCTGCCATCCAAGTGGGTAGTCTCAGTTTCAGAAAGGCTCTCAAGAGGGTACTGTCCCTTGAATGTGGCCTTTATAAGCCTAATAAAAGATGAGAAAGAGAAAAGTATTTCCTTATACCACCAGCAGGGAACTTATTTGATGTTGGTTGAGACATATTATAGGAATAAAGAAATACTGGCTTAGATTCCCTCCTTCATATCCAGGAAGGTACTACCAACATGCTTCCTGAGTTGGAATTCAAGGAAAACTATTCCTGAAGACTTGTTTTCAGACTCTTTCCTGGCTTATGTCATTCAATAAGCCCATAAGGAAACTTTCTTATATGAGCAGAAGATTAGTTATAGAGCAGTATAAAAGGCAGCATCAGTTCAAACCCCTGGGCACATTTCATAATGTTTCCCTCCCACACAATATACGCAGAACATTTTATAGCTCATCAGTATGCATAGGTGGGACAAAGAGAAAAATGTATTTACTAGGTAAGCCTTCCTAACTACCTGGAATTAATTCAGTCTATTTTTACCTTCACTTGATAGAGAATCATACCTCATCTATTATGCAAGCAATAGCTGATATTTGTAATATTGTACAAACAATAGCAGGTATTCACTCTATCACAGATTTTTGACCTTATCAAATGAAAGGGAACAATTAAATAAGAGATTCCAGTTTTCAAAAGGCTGAATCATCTAATATCCATAATCACTTCAAAATTGAAAAATAATGAGATGCCTGTCAGATGATCTCCCATGCTTTGAAAAAGTTAGAAGACATTGTGAGTACCGATTCAACTTGTGTCTCACAGGGAATGCTAGCTGTACTGTAACACCAAGCTGTTATTTCAAAATGGTAGTTTGTTACTTAAGTCTGAATGTACTGTGATTTTTTTAGAGAGCTAACATGTATATTATCATGTTTTTCTGGGGTGAGTAAAATTTCTTTTCTTCTCCTTGATCTAATCTCAGCCATAGAATAATTCCTTAGCAAGCTCAACCCTCCTGAATCCTGACTCCAAGGACGTGACCCCACTGGGGAAGCCAAGGGAACTGAAAGAATGCACCCAGATTGAGAAGGACCCTCACCTAGAGAGGCAGCATGGTGCAGGGTCGGGGTACAGGCCTGCCAAAGCAGGAGAACTAGTTCGGAGTTCTGGCTCTTCTAGGTTTTTGCCAAGAAGAGGTCCCTTAAACTCTATGAGTTTAACTATTAATTTTAAAAATAAGAAGGTTGAAATGGATCTTTAAGATACTTCCAGCTCTGATTCTACAGTTGATAAAATTCTATAGTAATTTCAATTGCATGTGGAAGCATTTTATACACTTTGAAGTAAGATTGTGGATCTTTTTTCGTGTAACACTTTTTAAGTGCTGTACTTTTAGTCTGAAAATTTTGAAAAGTGAAAGCATGTTGAAGAAACCTCAACCTTTTATTTCACAGATGAGACAACCGGTGGCATATTCCGTTAGATCTTTGTGCCCTTCCTTTCTGCCTTTTAACATTAAATCTAGTTGCTTTACATAAGTCTTCTGATATTGTTTTATTAGACTAATTTCATCTGAGTATCGTGGGATCCAGTGTTTTCCAACTGGTCTTTGATTGGGCCTGTCTGAGGGCACACATATCATCATTTTTTTTTTTTTTGAATTGGGGTCTCACTCTGTCACCCAGGCTGGAGTGCAGTGGCACGATCACGACGCGTGCTCCTGACCTCCAGAGTTCAAGCGATCCTTCCACCTCAGCCTCCTGAGTAGCAGGGGCAACAGGTGTACACCACCATATCTGGTTAATTTTTAAAATTTTGGCAGAGAAATCTTGTTATGTTGCCCAGGCTAATCTCAAACTCCTGGGCTCAAGTGTCCCTCTTGCCCCAGCTTCCCAAAGTGCTGGGATTACAGGTGTAAGCCACTGCCCCCAGCCATATACATATCATCTTAAAATCATTTTATTCCCGTCCCTCCTGGAGCCCTTCCTGAGTCATTTGCCTCATGTGTGACTCTTTTGCATTGCCCGGATTGAGGATTTTCTGTTCTCTCTTTCCTTCAAATGCCTGTTGCAATGTTGGTGAACTTTTTCATAGTACCCTTATTTTTACACAAGATCAAGCAAAAAGGGAAATCTGAGGCATATTTTAATAAAGGTTTTCAGCTTGCTTGCTTATTATCTAAAAGTGGTTTAAGATATTGTGAGCGGCAAAGCCAAATGTTCTGCACTATACTTCTATACAGTTGATATGGAGGCTATCAATGTTCTATTTGAAACTACAAATTCAAAGTATTTCTCCAAAAACATTATTCATGAGATCTAGCATGGGACCGATTTGTTCAAGCAAACAGGTATTATGAGGGTACTTTTCAGTTTTGTTAGATTTGATTACATTGCATTCTTAAAGTGCTTTACCTTTAAATTTTACTTTCTTTGTTTACTACTCATGACAGATTTTTGACTATGGTTAGTTTTATTTGCCTTCATTTTATTTTCTTTATAACCTGTTTTTCCTCTCTGTCCACCTGATGATTTTTGAATTGTTTGTCTGTATATAGCTATAGACATAGATGCTACTGGCTTAGATGCAGAAGAAAATGATATTCCAGCAAACCACCGGTCCCCTAAACCCAGTGCAAACAGTGTAACGTCACCCCACTCCAAAGAGAAAAGAATGCCCTTCTTTAAGAAGGTAACATTAACTTCCAAGCTGCCATTGTCCACCTGCTCAACTGCACTGCGTCACATTTCTAGTCCTGTTGACTGTCTGCGTCCTTTGACAAGCCAATAACATGCATGCTCTGTTATTCTTTGTCTCTTTTCCATGCCGCTGTAGCTAAGCAGAAGCAGAAATCGGTAAGTTTACGTTGACATAAGCTGTGTTTATCCTGCCACTGGCATCATTAGCATTAATTCCCAGTTTTATGAAATACAGTCATTTCTGTCCTAAGAAAAGAACCTATCCACAGTTAATTGAGGCCATGCATTTCAAACCAACTAAATTCAGTGAGTGACCTGTTAAAACACCATTACAGTACTTATCCTTTTTGATGGAATAATATCTACCACCAAGGGAATTTGTTTCAGCATTCAAGGATGTCAAACACTAAGAACTCCATATAATGCACCTCAATTGTGCATGCTTATTCTGTCTGTCTGTCTCTTCCTTTTTTCCAGAAATTTAACTTATAATCAACCATATGAAAGCAGTTATTAGATTCTGACTTATGATATCCAGATACATAGCTTGTACTTTTAAAAAGTATTCAATTTTTAATTTAGTCAGTATTTAAACTTCTAATCCACTAGGTGCAAAATCTGCAGATGAGCAAGACCAGTGGAAAACTGCAGGCTTGTTTTGGCGGTTTACTGTGAGTTTTTCCTGTTGTCATATATAAATACTCTCCCAATGTTCTTGCCTTCTCCATCAGTCAGATCTGAGCATCTCACCTGTTGGACAATGTGGCTGGTGGCCATGTGTACAACCTTTGCCCTTGGCCACCCAAAATGCTACACAGTGATGCTTCTTGCCCTCTAAAAGGAAACTATACTGAACTCTCGTTACTCCAAACCAAATCTGTTTCCTCTCAGCCCATTTTGTAGCTTCAAAGCATCATTTTTAAGGACCACTACTCCAACCAAAGTTCCGTCCCCCCCCACCTTTTACACACCGCTTTCCACAGCTACTATGCTGTCTTAGAGTCATGCTCCCTAAGGTCACCAAGTCTGACAAAACCATGGTATATTCTATATATTCTTAGATATGAAGTAAAGTGTACTCTCTGCTTCTACCTCTCCACCTACTGAATGCTTTTCCTCTGCAAACAAGTGTTTTGTTCTGTGGAGCAGCTCTAAAGTCATTAATGAGGTATATGATACTGGACCATAAAGTTGGGTTTTTAAAATAAATTAGTTATTTTAATAAAGGAAGACCTCAGCACTTCAGACAAAAATCAAAACACCTAGATTTTTGTGCTAACACAGAAAACTCAGCTTAATGTTCATCAATAAAGTGGGCCCATCTCTTTGGTCTGATCTTGTCACAGCTAAAACTTGCAGCCAAGTGACTAATTGTGTCAACAGTTCAGAAGCCTAGAAAGTTTCTAGGCTCTGAGCTGTTCTGGACTTTACAGAGCAGGAACACGAACGAAAACCATGTCATTCAAGATCGTTTTTAAAAGTTTGTTTACCCTTAAATTCCAAAATGTTTTTCACTAAATAGTTCAAACAAAGTAGGGTTAACAAGAAAGAGTAGATAAAAATAATGGTGTCATTCTTAATAGGGCACCAAGCACTAATATTCCATCAAATAAGGTAATTTCTGTAGCTACCCTATTGATTAAGAAGCTGATTGATTACCAGCATGGACAACCCTTTGGTAGTTGGTAGTCACAGATTGAAGGAACCAAAAACCTATCAATACCAGGCCACTTAAGACTTAAAGACTTGAAATAAAATTTCTTGGTAGCTGTTACTAAAAATGCATGCAATTTATATTCCTAATTCCAATGGTGGAAAAGGGGTTCTCATACTGCATAGTTATAAGAACTTGATTTCTAAATATTTTCAGTGTGATCCCAGGTGGTATAAATGTAATAATTTAAGAAATATGCTTATGATGCCTTCGGCACTGGTATTCATTCTCCTTATGTTATGGATGATGTGGTAACCTTCAATGTAGAATTCAAAAACAAAAACCCTGAGATCCAATGAGAAGATTGTTTTTCTATGTTTTAGGTTGCTTTTACAGTGGTGCTTGTGTGGCATTTGTGCTGTCACTGTATTATGTTTGTCTTGGTTTTTTTTTTTGTTAAAAAATGTATTCTACCTTGATTTGTGTCTATTAAAATTAATTAATTTTGAATGCTTGATAGAACCATAAGCAGTAAAATTTGACAGCACAGTCACAGTACTATTTTTCTACCTTTTGATTATATTGTCTGTGACTACTGAAAACTCAGACAGAAACTTTTGAATTTGAAATTCTTTTTATATTCCCCCTGAGGCAACTTAAATTCAAATGAAGCCAGGAAGCTTGTAATGGGCAATTTTAAGCAACAAGAAAATATTCTTGAGTGATAGACTGATGCAGAAATTATATTCACATTTACACATCAGTTTATCTACTTCTTAAAATAGTTTAAAGAACATTTTTCTTTTGGCACATGTGATTCTTAAAATATATTTTCTCAGGCACTCCTTTATCAGAAATATTTATATGGCAATGGTTTGCTTATCCCAGTGTCTAAGGCCATATCTCTCTCTCTTCTACATTTTAATCAGTGGTCATTTGGGGGCCAATTTAATATTTTCTATTATCAAGAGAGCCAATTTTAATATAATCAAAAAAATCAGTCGCTACCTTCTTTTGGGGGGAAAATTTTATTTTAACCATTTTATTTGAAGCAATTGAGTTAAGAGTGTTGATCATTTTAGAAATTATTGCAAAATTTAGCTCCTCCTCCTGCTCTTCAAAAAAATAAATTATTGCAGAAAGGAATTAATTATCTAATACAAGCACCACCTTAATTATGTTTGAGAAGCATATTAGATATGCAAATTGATAGTGAACCTTTTGAGGCCACTAAAGCATAGTTAAATATACTATTACACGTTAGTTAACCACCTTCCCTCCAAGACATGTAAACCTTACATTTTAAGTTTTGAAGTATCAAGGTACAGAAATTAAAAAAAAAAAATCTGAAAGCCTTAGTCACTAAACTGTGAGCAGTGATCATTATTACTTTTTACTGGAACAAGCATGCATGCTAATTTAAACTCTCACAATAAAATAGAATTTTTAAAGTATTTGCTAGTGAGAGTTACAATATTTTGAAATTAGGTTTTATGCAGGTAAGACAAACAAATCTCTAAGATGCAAAGGTGATGAAATCTTTCTTTCCTCCATAATTAATCATGTTAGGTCTGATCATTTCAACTCTTCAGAAAACTCAAATGCATTGGAAAAAGCAGTATTAACTTCTAGGCAAGCCTCAGCCACCTATGCTGCATGAAGCATGTTTCTCTTTGTTCTACCAACTAGTTTTTGTTCAACAGCAGCAAACCTCCTGCTTTAAGAACTAGCATTTCTTGAGAAGAACAAGAAAACTATAGATAATTTGGTAACCTGAAACTTTAGCAAAATAACCCCACTGATTGATTGGGTTTATTTAGAAAAAAAAGCGGGAAGTTTTTTAAAAAAATTAAATTTCTGGAAAGCTCGTATTACAGGATTCACAAAGAGTACCTTAAATATTTTTTATGTATAAGTTCTCCCTGCCTGTGGAACATCTAAAAGCCTCTCCTTTCTCTGCAGACAGAGCACACTCCTCCTTACGATGTGGTACCTTCCATGCGACCAGTGGTCCTAGTGGGTCCTTCCCTGAAGGGGTATGAGGTGAGTAACCTGCTCTGTAGCACATTTGATCTTTGCATGCTGAACTGCTTTGTGACTCCACCTCCCACTCCCAGCTCTCGAATTTAGAACTGAAAGAGCTCATAGCAGCAACGCACAGTGTTTTTCAAAATGGGATGTACATTGCTTAGTGTTTTTTTCTGTTTTGTTCTCCTGGTTATTGCTTTAAAGGTTTCTCCTAGGTACAATTTATTCAACCCAGAAAATAGTATCAAATAGGGAGTGACTGAAACCACTTGCAATGCAATTTGTCCCCAAAACATCATGGTAAGTTCAGTTTAATTGTCATTGTATCAATACTCAGAAACAAGAATGTGACAACCTCATATGCTACTTTTTCCAAATGCAAAGCTCAGGTTTTCAAGCATTCCTAAAAGAAGTAAAACTGTTTTATCATAAGTAGTGATTTTTTAATCGTTTCTTAATTTGTTGCTTTCTCAATTGCAGGTCACAGATATGATGCAAAAAGCATTGTTTGATTTTTTAAAACACCGATTTGAAGGACGGTGAGTATTTCAGAATATTGGGTTTTGTGGATTTGGTCTTAAAGATGGCAAAACCCTAGTGGGACAGGCATGTGATTCGAAGAGAAAACAGCCCTCCAATGTCCTCATGGTGACAGGAAATAAGTTTCATTCAGTTCGATCTGATTCAACAAATATTTGCCATTTTTACTTTGCGTGACCTTACCCCTAGATAATCCAGTTTCTGTACCTGCATTTGTAAGATGAAGTTGGCCACAACTCTACTGGTCTCACCCTTAATTCATGATCAACTGACCTCTTATTGCTGCCCAGGCATCACACTAAATATTCCCTTTCCATTCTAAGAAACTTCTGTGCCATCTCCCCTCTCCTTAAACTTCTAACAACCCCTTCTCACCCCACTCTCTCCCAGTAATCTTGCTTTCCTGTTTCACTGAGAAAACAGAGGCAAATGGAGGAGAATGTCCAGTGGTTTCTACCACCACACATATCCCTACTTGTATGTTTGCCTGAATATTCTGTTTTCTCTCCAATACTATGTTACTAGCAATGGCCAACCCACCCACTTGGACATTAGATCACATTCCCCACCGCACCCCCACTCAAATCACCCAGACACAGCTATAACAAACCTCCTCTCTCTCCTCATCGGTACGCCCTGTCCTACTGGAAATGCCATCAGCGTATACAAACATAGTTATCTCTCCTCACATTTGACCTCATGTTCCCTCTATGTATCTCATTCTTTTTCTTCATTCTTTACAAAAAAGTTCCTTGAAAGAATTGTCTACTTGTTCTTCTTCTACTCTCTTGAGCCTCTTCCAGTTACGTTTTCATTCACACCACTCAACCAAAACTAGTCATGTTAAGATCACCAACAACCTTCATGTTGTAAAATCCAGGGATGAATTATTTGCCCTTATTTTACTTGATCAGGAGCAACAGTTGACATGGTGGATTGAATTAACTTTATTTGTTTGGTTTCTGGGACCATACTTTCCTGGTTTTACTTCTATAACACTAGCTATTCCTGGGTCTCCTTTGCTGGTTCTTCTGCATCAACTAGACATCTTGGAGAGCCCAGGGATAAATTATTTAGTTTCTTATCTACCTAGCTCCTATAGTGATTTCACTCAATGTCAGATTTTTACATACCATTTCTTTGCTGATCTCTCCTCTGAATTCCATATCCCACATCCAAATACAGTCGTCCATATCTTCAGATTCAGAATCTATCCCTTCTCACACATCCTCTGCTATCATTTTGGTCTGAGACACCATCATCTCTTCCCTGGATCATTGCAATAGCCTCCTGACTCGTCTCTTTGCTTTTGTCATTGCTCCCTTGAAGTCCTGTCTCAAGCCAGCTGCCTGAATAACCCTGGTAAATTGGGAGCTGGAGCTCACCACTCCTTTGTTCAGAACCATCCAATGACTTCTCTTTTCATTCCAAGTAGAAACTAAACTCCTTATAGTGGTCCATCTGACTGTCTGAGGTCTGACCTTCCCCACCCCCCCATACCTTGACTTTCTGTCTTACGACTCTCCCCCTTGCCCACTCTGCTTCTGCCACACTTACTCCCTTGTTGGTCCATGAGTGTTCCAGATACATGCCCACCTCAAGGCCTTTTCACTTTGCAGTTCCCTCTGCTAGGAACACCTTTCCCTTAGATATTTTATTTGGCATATGTGCACATGCACACACACATATATACGCATGCATTTGCTCCCTGCCTTTCCTGACTTTTTTCCCAGTTCTTTTATGTATTTTACTTATTGTCCTTCTTTCACAACTAGAATATAAACTCCATAAGGGCAGAGTTTGTGGATGTTTTGTGACCTTTGTGTTCTCAGTACCTAGAGAGTACTCAGTATGAACAACAGATGGATGAATCTTGAAGGAATGTCTGCTGCGTGCTCTCTGCTAGAGAAGCACAGAAACGATGAAGCCACCCTCTCTGCCAATGCAGAGCTTCTGTATGTAAACCATAAATAGAAAGCTCTAACAAATAAAACATAAATGAAAGGACAACTCGGTAAATGCCTGAACAAAGTACAGATAGCATAAAGGGAGGAGAATTAACACTAACTTAGTGATGTCCACATGCAGAAAGGGTTTTTTAATACAGTCTATGATTTTAGCAAGTGAATTATGAGGTATTAAGAAGGTGTGTCCAGCAGAAGGAGTAAAGTGTGTGAAGACATCGAGCTATGACACAGTATTATGTGTTAGGCAACCCACCCAGAGGTCTTCAAGGACCTGACTGGTAACAATGCTGGGGCCATATCTAGTATGTCATGCCAATGGATTTGGACTTAATCTTTCCCTTTCCTTTCTCCACCACCCCTCGTAACTCAACTTGCCAAAACAAATATTTTTTGAGTATATTCTATGTGCTAGGCACTGTGAGAAGCAAAAACATCTGAGGGCCTTGGTTTCGTGAAACTTACTTGAAGTCTACTGAAAGGCAGCCTTGAGTCAGATAATCAGTGGTGGCCATCATGAAGGTTAAGACAGCTCCTGAAGCATCAAAGACATGACATGTGTCTAAAATGGAGACCTTAAGGTTAAACTAAGAGTAGGTTATCATAGGGGGCCTGGAACAGGACTAGTGTATATTTCTGTATTTTTAATAAGGTAAATGTGATTTCTCTCTCCTCCACCTTCCTTTCCTTCTCTCATCTTGACAATCCAAGGACAATAGATAGAATCTTTGGTTTCAGTGTTATTTCAATTTCTTAATGTAGTATTTTCTTTCTAGACCACAACCACTATACTACAATGATTTTTAATTTATATTGACTTTTGGCAGGGGAGGCGAGGGTAAGGAGGGGAACTTTTATAGCAGGACAAATATTATTAGTAAGTGATGAAGCAAAGGGCTGAAAGGGACAGAAAGAGGAAAACAGAAACTATGTTTTAAGGCATGAAGAGACCTTAAGATCAAGGTCTTCCCAACCAAATGCTTCTAATTAGATTTTTTTATTTTTCATAACTTTATGAAATATGTTTTAGTTTGTGCCAGGAAATACAGTCTTTAGCTTGACCTCAGGTTACGAGACACTGGCCAAGTATAAAAGGCATACCTCCTATCTGTCCCACTTAGCTTTTCTTTCTTTATTCTTGGCTCTGTCATTTATCCCAATTTGGAGTGTCTGCATGAGCATGCACACTCAAAAAATTCTGCTAAAATAGGCACTATGTTTTCCGTGACTTAGTTAACCCACTGCCCTTTCCTAAATACCAAAGATGGGGAAATGGAATGGAATTTCATGACTTACCACTTCTATTTAAACGTGAGTAAGTTTTGAATTTGAAAGATGATTCCAATCATAGGATGGAATATCTTGGACTCATGTTCTAGAGTATCAGTCATGCAGATTCAATTCCTTTAAGAAGCAGACAAACAAAACTTCTGAATATTGTGTCAATCTATTATTTCTAGCCAGAAGTAATTTCCATATGATTTTATTAATGGACTTGCCTTGGCTCACTTTTTATAGAGCTGGAATTCAATATTCTAGGCCTGTGGTCACCGATTAAAGGTCCTCAAATGAAGCAATAGAGTCCACAAGCCAGAATTTTAAAAGCCATAAAAATTTTTTTTACCCATGGCAAGACATCCAGGGTAACTGAATCATTCCATGTCTTTGTTGTTGGCAAGGCAAGACAGCAAAAGACAGTGGCAATTCATCAGAAACATCAGGTATGTGTGTACACATGACATTCTAAAAGGGAAATATGAATTACTCCCAGTGATCTATTAAATAAACTAAATTTATTTATAAAAATTTTAAGCCCAAGAGGAGAAAATATAAAAGGAAACATTGGTGATTAAATGGTTTTGGGTAACAAGGAATCCCTTTTCTGGTCTGAAACACACCTACTCTCCAGGGCTTCATTGGAAACCCTTCATTGGAAACCCTGGAGAGTTGTCAAAAATCATGATTCTGGTTGTTCAGCAGCATAAGTGTATCAGGTCAAAGAGAGATGATAAATCACCATCCCCTTTCTGTTGTGTGCTATAAAGTAGTCCATTTAAAATTGGACCCTCCATAACCATCTGTGTCATGCAAACAAAGCAGTCTTCAGATTCACCTTATAGGACAATGATAGGTGAATTAACAAAGAGATCGGAGACAAAAAGGAAGGCTATCACCTGGGATAAATTCAGGAGTACATTTTCCCCTCAGTAATTTTGAAAATGTCAGCTATCAGCCCCGAAATGTTTGGAATGTATACTGATTGCTGGAGGGATATGTACGCTGTTGCCAGATTTCTTGGAGAAAATCTTATTGGAAATCAATAGTCCTGAGAAACATTACATCACTTTATTTTCTGGTGTGAGGAATTTACTTAGATGTGAAATGTCCTCTTCTAAAACTGGTGCTTTTTGACCCTAGCTGCATATTAGAATCACCTGTAGTGCTTTATAAGCAAAAACAAAATAAAACAAACAAATGAACAAAAAATTAAGGGCCTAAATCCCTCCCTGCAACCAAATTTCTGAGGAAAGCCATGGGTTTCTGTAACTTTCAAAACTTATATGATGATTTAGATACACTGTAAGTTGAGAACCACTGCTGTAAACCGAATTGTTCCCAAGAATTTTGCCCTTAGGACTTTCAAGGTCTGCAGCTTGGCAGAACTCCAAGTAATGATGACTCCCAAAGCATAAATTCAAGAGTTGAGAGCCGGCTCGGTGGCTCAGCCTGTAATCCCGCGCCTTTGGGAGGCTGAGGTGAGTGGATTGCCTGAGCCCGCGGGTTCGAGACCCGCCTGGGCAGCAAGACCTCATCTCTACAATAAATCAAAAAATCAGCCGGGCGTGGTAGCGCATGCCTGTAATTCCGGCTACTTGGAAGGCTGAGGCGGAAGGATCGCCGGAGCCCAGCAGGCGAGGCTGCGGTGGCTGGGAGCAGCCACTGCACTCCAGTCTGGGTAACCGAGTGAGACTCCGACTCAAAAAAAAGAAAAAAAAAAAAATTCAAGAGTTGAAATAGGATCATGGCCTGTCTCATGCAACCTACAAAGTTAACCACATATGTAAGTCCATAGAAGACTGGTTGAGCAAAACACGTGCAGAAAGAAAAGGCCAAGAATGTAGGGCAAGGAAGATGATGTGTTGTTCAACAGAAAATCTTGCCCTTCACCTGAATTTGTCCCTGTAGGCTAGACTGTAAGATGCTTCTGAGCAGGTTTTGCCTGCCTTGTCACTATTGTATCCCAGGGTGATGCCCAAGGCAGGGAAGCTGCCTCTTAGTGTCAGGGCTTTTCAGAGGCACAGGCCCAGATCTCTGGACACACAGTAGGTACTCAGTGAATATGTGCTGAGTGTACAACTCCTTCTGTGGCTATCCAGGTGCCTAGCATAAAGGAAATCCTATTAGTACAGTTAGAGCTTCCTAGATGGCATCACCCTACCCTTCTATACCCACCTCTGAACAAGTAAAAACATTTAAAGATAATCATTGAGCATTGGGGTGTTCCCACCTGTAGCCTGACTTCACTTGCGAATGTGTTGTGAAATTATGGTGAAGCAATTTTTTAAATGGATTGGCTTGGTATTTCTTTTCTGGTTGTTGCTTTTTAAATGCTGAATACAATTGTCATCAAAACATAAAAAGTTGGCCAGGTACAGTGGCTTACGCCTGTAATCCCAGCATTTGGGAGGCCAGGGTAGGAGGATTGGTTGAGGCCAGGAGTTCAAGACCAGCCTGGCTAACATAGTAAGACCCTCTGTATTAAAAATTTGTTTTAATGTACAAAAAGTTTAAAAATTAAAAACAATTTTTAAAAATAGCAGTATCACTCAGCAATAAAAAGGAAGGAACTGTTGATACACAATGTGAATGAATCTCAAATCCCTGATGTATAGTGAAAGAAGATCAACTCGAAAGATAACATGCCTATGATTCTATCTATATGATATTTTGGGACAGAAAACTACTCCGTGGCTGCCAGTGGTCGGGTAGGAGAGAGAACTGACTACACAGGGCAGCACAAGGGAATTGTGGGGAGGGAGGAGTCCCAAGTGATTCTGTATTATGCCCTTGATGGTGGATACATAGCTCTATAGGGTGGTTCCACTCATGGAACTGTTCGCCACAAATATTGAATTTTATGGCATATGGGCAAAAACAAATAATTTTGTTCTTTTGCAAAAGCCTTCCTACAATTTATCAAGTGGCCTGCTATCCAGATAACAACCACTTTTAACTGTCTTAGCTGAATCTTTTGGTATTTTTTTCCCTTGCCTCTAAATTTAGTGCTCAATTTGTTCCTTGAGTTTTCAGTGTTAGGCGCTTTCTTAAGCGTTATTCTTCATGGCTTCCTACCATGAAGAATACTTATGCATATTCCTCCTCTATGTCCCATACACGTACCAGCATATGCATATGTGACATGTTCCATTCTCTTAGCTGTTAAAGAAACTACTGGACGCATCTGAATGTTCTGTGAAAAGATTTTGACAGCTGGGGGGAGTATTGGGGACTGGATTCGTGACAAATATATAGAAAATTAAGCAAATATCAAAAGTAACATTATTTATCTCATGAAACCACAAAGAAAACACATAAGAAAAAGTAATGATATGACATGGTTCATTTGAATATTGTTTGCATGGTTATAATAAATACTAAATATAGAGCCAGACAAAATTATTATTTGTCTTCTTGAAGCTCTCTGAGGTATTGTAGCCTGCTCCAGTCTAGACCATTTGTCTCTGCCTTGGGTGTCATTCTGGGACATCCTTTGTCATTATCCTTGCAGATTCCTCATGTCATTTTAGTCAAAAGCATTCTCCAGTAGTTTCCCTAGAAAGAATACATAAAATTTTTTGAGACCCTGGAGATCAACCTTCCTACTTAATTGATAGTTTAAATGGTTATGAAATTCTAATTGCAGTAATTTTCCCTTAGACTTTTGAAGGCTTTTTGATCCATTATCTTCTGTCATCTGTTGTTTCTGTTGAGAAATACAAAACAAAACATTCCAATTCCTGACTCTTGGGGATCTGTTTTTTTCTCTGGAGGCTGAAATTTATAAGCATATGTCTTGGTATGGATCTTTCAACCACTGTGCTGGACCCTTTCAATTTGGAAAATTAGATCTTTAATTCTGGAATTATTTCTTTAGTTTCCTCTCCTTTGTTTTCTTTATTCTCTTTTTCTGAACTCCTCTTATTTGTAGTTTGAACCTCCTGTATAATCTCTAATTTTCTTACCTTTCTTCTTCTATCTTTCTTTTCTTTTCTTTTTTTTTTTTTTTTGAGTTGGAGTCTCACTCTGTTGTCCAGACTGGAGTGCAATGGCCACTCCCGGCCACCGCAGCCTCGACCTGCTGGGCTCCGGCGATCCTTCCACCTCAGCCTTCCAAGTAGCTGGAACTACAGGCGCGCGCTACCACACCCAGCTAATTTTTTTGATTTATTGTAGAGATGAGGTCTTGCCAAGTTGCCCAGGCGGGTCTCGAACCCACAGGCTCAGGCAATCCACTCACCTCAGCCTCCCAAAGGCACGGGATTACAGGCTGAGCTACCAAGCCAGCTTCTTCTTCTATCTTTCCTCTCTCTCTCTCTCTCTCTCTTTTTTTTTAACTCTTTTGAAAATGTCCTTAACTTTCCTTTAACTCTTCTTTTGAATTTTTATTTCTACTGTCATATTTTTAATTTCTGAATGCACTTTCTTATTCTGTCTTTAAATAGAAATGTGTTCTAGTTTCATAGATATAACTCTTTTAACTATATATAAGTCATAGTTGATTTTTGTTTGTTTTGATTTCTCATGTTAGAAGTTCTGAAAATGTCTGACCAGCACTCCTGTGCTCAAATTTTAATGGGTCATAAAATAATTAATTGGAAGTCCTGTGCTCTTAGGTGGAGCTTGTCAACTTTATGCTTCCCTGTAGGACAATCTTGCTGGAATTTATGTAGGAAACCTCCAATATCATTATCTTCAGGTCTTTACTTTTTGACAGTCAGATTCCCCAGAGAATAATCCATTTCCCCAGAATCTTCCATTCTGGCACCGGGAAGAGATACATATTAGCCTGGCTATTAAAATTCTGAGATGAGAAAGCGTAGAGGTCAACATTCAGAACCCTTTCTTTTCCATCTAGTTTTCCCTGCCACTGCTCTGCCTAAGGTACCTTGGCCAGAGGCCCCCTGTTTGATTACCTGCAGGCACTAAATCTGTGGTAACAAATCTGTGGTCTTATAATACATAGAAAAGAAGAAATGTTGTGACGGAGTAGTGGGGGAGGCTCAACACTAAAACCAACTTTTTATTTTATTTTCCTGATTTATTTTTTAATGTATTTTTTAAGTACTTTTTATTTTAGTGATGTGGGGTACAATTCAGGATTAGCTATATGAGTAATCATCATACAGGTTAAGTTTAGGCCTTCCTTTGGTCCCCACTTAATCCAGTCCAGTTTTTTTTTTTTTTTGAAAGCAGGATTTATTGAGGGGACAGAAAAGCTCCTACAGTGGAAGGGGACCTGAGGGGGTTGCCCCCAGTCCAATTTTTGGATGGGCAGCATGGTCAGTTCCATGTTTTTGCTATTGTGAATAGTGCTGCAATAAATGTGCGTGTGCAGGTATCTTTTTTGTAGAATGATTTGAGTTCCTCCAGGTATATTCCCAGTAGGGGGATTGCTGGGTCATATGGAAGGTCAATTTCTAGTTCTTTTAGAAATCATCACACTGTTTTCCATAGAGGTTGAACCAGTTTGCATTCCCACCAGCCTTGTAGAAGCGATCCCTTTTCTCCACATCCTTACCAGTATCTGTTGTAAAACCAACTTTTTAACCAACTCTCCTGTTTTCCATACCTACTTCAAAAATATTGTGAGCCTTCACTTTTGTTTCACAGCTGTTCCTATTGCTACCTTGAATGTTCAGCTTTCTCTAGTCTAAAAGTCACTTATCATTTCCAGTTTCCAAACTCTGTTGCTCCTATTTTTACCCTAAAATAACACTCCCAACTCATTCTTGTCTGCCATAATACCTTGTTTGTTCTCTTCACAACAGTCATCATAATCTTTAATTATTTTTATTTATTTCTTATTTATTGCCCACCTCTGCCACTAGACTCTTAGCTGTCTAAGGGAAGACCACATTCATCTAGTTCTTGTTTATTCTTCATGCCTATCACAGCACCAAACTGTAGCATGGAGGGCTAAGAATATAGGCTTGGGGAGTCTGTGTTCAAACCCAGCTCCATCATTTAGTAAATCCATAGCCTTGGCTAAATAATCTCACTGTGGCCCATTTTCTTCATCAGCAAAAGTAGGATATGATTAACCTCTCTCCTAGAGTTTTTGAGTCAATTTAATGAGATAATTTAGGTAAAGAGCTTCATGCACACCTGGCACTTGGTAAGCAACCAGTAAATACTAAGTAAAACAGGAGAAGGATGATCAAAATAAACACTAAGTGTCTTAACGTATACGGTTTGGAAATATGGTCATTATATATATTTCATAGTTAGATGAATTTTGGGCATGTACTTCTGTCCTCTTTGATTAGATTAATAATCCTGGGTCTTCTGTGACTTTTTTTTTACAGGATATCCATCACAAGGGTCACTGCTGACATCTCCCTTGCCAAACGCTCAGTATTAAACAATCCCAGTAAGCATGCAATAATAGAAAGATCCAACACAAGGTCAAGCTTAGGTAAGTCTGTGCAATGAGCTTAAGCTATTTAAATACTCCTCTCCTGAGAATGACAATCTAACGAGATGATAATTCCTTGTGTCACAGAGTATAGAAAAGGCAGACGTGTTGCCAGTAGCTAGTGCTACAGTCTTAATTATTTTGTGGTATGGAAAGATTTGTTATGATAGTTTCAAGTTAAAAATGCCACATGCTGTCAGCATTAATGTTTTGGTTGGGATTTGTTTAATGTGAGCTTTGGTGTCTACAGACTTTTCTAAAAATTCCTGACTTTGCATCAGTGTTACCATGAACAAGTTTATTAATCTCTTGAAGTTTAATAACCTTGTTTCCTCTTCTTAAAAAAATTAAAAAAGATAACTACCTTATAGAATTATTGTAAGACTTAAACATAGCATGTGCTTCATAAATGGTGGCTATGATTATCCCAAATATCCTTTAATACTTATATTACATCACTAATGAAATATTCAGGATAAAGTGCACGTGTGTGTGTGTGCGTGTGTGTGTGTGTGTGTGTGTGTGTGTGTGTGTGTGTGTGTTGAGACTGATAAAGGATGAAGCCAATTCCATTGATTGATATAAATATTTTTTGTCTTATCTGTAAAAACAGTGTCAGAATTTTAGTTAATGTGTTTATAGGGTGGTGTTTAGATGTTGCTTATTAACATATATTGATGTGATCCAATGGAGACCCTTCAGCAGTTATTTGATCTTGTTGGCATGTGCCTGAAGTTGTAGGTTAATCATGTTACACATGTAACATGCTACATTGATAGGCTTTGGTTTTTATAAAGCAAATTTTCTGAGGGTTGTGTGGTAACTTTGAGCTTAGAGGGTTTTTTTTCTATTTGTATGTTAAATGTGGAAATCTTTGGGAAACTTGTTTTTAACATAGAAGTTTTTAGTCTACTCTGAGGTATGATTACAAAAATAATAGAAAAACCAGACTGGATATGGTGGCTCCTGCCCATAATCCCTTCACTCTGGGGAGGCTGAGGCAGGAGGATCACTTAAAACCAGTCTGGGCAATCAAGTACGACCCTGTCAGTACAAAAAATAAAAGTTAGCCAGGCATCATGTCATATGCTTGCAGTCCCAGCTACTTGGGAGGCTGAGGCAAGAGGATCACTCGAGCCCAGGAGGTCGAAGCTGCATTGAACAATGATGGAGCCTCTGCACTCCAACATGGGTGACAGAGGGAGACCCTGCCTCTTAAAAACAAAACAAAACAAAACAATAAAACTCTGTGAGTAATGAATATGATACTTAATCGATCTCAGTTTTGCTCCCCGCCTAATGACCCCCATTGGCAAAACTTTAGTAAGAGGTTTAGAAATGTATTAAGGGAAAACCATGATCATACATTTTGCTTCTTTTGATGTCCTTATCATCTGTGGCACTTAAAACTCTTTCCACACATTATGATCATACATTTTTACTTCTTTTGATGTCCTTATCATCTGTGGCACTTAAAACTCTTTCCACACATTATTTGATGCTCACAGGAATAATTATAAAAATATTCATTTCATAGATTCAGCTGATTAAAAAAGTAAAGTAAGTTATTTAGACTCACTGAATCTATGACATATTTATTTAGGTTGCCAAGACATTTTGTTACTACTGACTCTTTTTAAATGACTCTTCCACCTCATATATATATATATATGTATATATATATATATATATATATATATATATGTATATATATAGTATAACCTAGACACCAAATATCCTGCTAAAACCTAGTGATAAAAAAATGAATTAGATGAAACCCTTGCCCTCAAAGAGCTTGATGCAGCAATAAGAAAAATAAGAGTCCACTGAAATGAGGGTGATAAGCAAGGTGGACTAGCACTGAACCGGCTGCCAGAGAGCTAATGCTTCAGGAGGGCAAAAACCATGGGAAAGGCTCTTCCCGGGAGCTGAGACTTAAGATTTAGCCAAGAAGACAGGGAAAGGGGTGACAAAGGTGATCATGATTTGAGACATTGGGAAGTGTAACAGACCTTAAAAAACACAGGTGCTTCACTTTGGCTGAAATATGTGGTTTTAGCAAGTTAGAGATGTCCAGCCTAGGCAACATAGCAAGACCTCATCCCTTCAAAAAAATCAAAAACCTAGACGGGCATGGTGGCACCTGCCTATAATCCCAGTTATTCAGGAGGCTGAAGTGGAACGATTGCCTGAGCCCAGGTGAGCCATGACCGTACCACTGCACTCCAGCCTGGGCAACACAGTGAGATTCCAGTTAAAAAAAAAAGTTGGAGACGAGCGATAATATGAGAGAGATCGGCAGGGGTAAGAAATTAAGGAGTTTGAGCTTCCTCTAAAGGCGTCAGGTCATCATATCCAGTTTTTAGGCATTCATTCATACTTGAGTACCAGTTATGTGCTAGTTATTATTCTGGGTGCCAGGGAGACAGAAGTGATGGACACAGAATCTTCCTTCCCATATTTTTTGTTTCTGGGAGAAGAAATGGACAAAATCTTATAGACATAGACAGATGCAGTTACAGATAGTTGGCCAGTGGTTGATGTGTCCCCAAAAAAGAAGCAGGTCAAGGAACAGAGAGTAAGATGAGGAGGCCATTATTTTATTTAGGGGAGGCAGGGAAGGCCTCTGAGAATTGACATTTTAGCAGAATGATTTATGTGGTGAGTTCTATAGCCTTGTAGCTACCTGAGGAAACAGTGTTCCAGGCAGAGGATACTCTAAGAGCAAAGGCCCTGAGTGTGACAGGAGTGGAGTAAGCAGGGGAGATGGGGTCGGAAAAGCTGTGGAGGGCCTGATCACACAGAGCTTCGCAGGCCATGGAAAGACATGTCTTGTTATTGTGGATGGTGCAGGACACTGTAGGATCGCAGAGAAGCGAGCTGATGGGAAGCACGTTTTAGAAGAATCACTGGCAACGCTGTAGAGAAGAGAATGGAGCAGGGCAAAAGTGAAGGGAGGGACAAATTAGGAAACTGTTGAAGCAGATTCTGAGAGAAATAATGGACTCTGTGGAACCACAAGCACATAATCAGATTGGTGTCTTCAGGAGAATCTGTGTGGCAGCAGATGGGGGAAGACTTGGGCGGGGAGGTCATTTGGGAGACTGTCATCATCATTCAAGTTAAAGGATAAGAGAGGCCTGTAATAAGGCAGTGGCAAGGGAAAGAGGCGTATGAAAGGGATCCAGACAGGAGAGAGTAGGACTTTCAGGATTTGATAGCTATCAGATGTGGAATATGAAGTAGAAAAATCCAGGATGATTTCTGGTTTTGCTTTGAGGAGCTGGGTGATTGATGGTTACTCTGGGGATGGGGGTTCAGGAGGAGGTGCTGGTTTGAGCTAGTAGATTGTGGAGCAGGATAAGGAAGGTGACGCTTGCATTTGTGAACCTGGTGAGTTTGCAGTATTGTTGAGCATCCAGAGATCCAGCAGGCAACTGTACTACGAATGTGGCACTAAACAGAGAAGGGAGGACCTAAGATATAGTTCATTGTCGCTATTCACCCTAGTTATGGTCTGTAAAGCTACTGCAAAAACTGAATGAGCAAATACCAACCCATTGTTCTTAGGGGAAATGAAAAGTCAGACTCCTACAAGCCTCTAGTCACAACATTTTCATCAACTGATCCATATGTACCATGGTTTATGTGTACATCCATTTAAAGACACCTTACTGAATTTATCTGTTGATTCACTGACATTGAACTCACAGTCAACAGCACTGTAACTTATGCCTAAGCAAAGTTTATCTAAACACACATACTCCCGTAAGCCACATCACAGCCTTCTTGTGCTTAGGGACACTACAAAGCACTTTAGTATTATGTTTAGGGAACATTTAAAACAGTGAAATCACCAATCAAGTATACAAAAATGCGAAAAAGATGACATTAAGTAAGCCAAAAAAGGGATACTTGTTTATAGCCTGAGAGCCAAAACAAGAAGGTAGGTTAACACTTTGACCTCAGCTGGGACCATGCATGCTGGGTAACTCAAATTTTTCACCACTCTGTATGTCCACAACTGAGTACAAAAGTGCTTTGATTATTGATTTGGGGAATTTTAAATAAATCTTAGCAAGGCTACAAATTTGTAAACACAGAATTTACAAATAACTATGGATTCTACCTTATTTTTAGAAGCTACAAATTTACACATGTAGTCAAAGCAGTGAGAATGAGAGGGCCAAGATAAGCCCATACCCCTGAAAAGCACCAGTTACTGACAGCGTTGGCTGGGAAAGAAGGGCTTTGAGAAAGAAATGGCCGCCATGGGGAATACTGTGGGAGAGAGGTACCACAGTCAGGAGAGACCACATTTCAGTGGCCCAAATGCTAGAGATGAAGCAAGATAAAGACAGGCAAAACACAGTTACTTTGTTGACTGAGCATTTCCGTTCTTGATTGGTACTCTACTCAGAGGAAGCAGGGAAGAGTCAGAAGGACAAGTACCTGGACCACGTGGAAGGTGGCCATAGGACCAGAGCCCAGATAATGGATTGGTGATCTAGACTAACTGAATGTGCCATCCGGACTCCCGGGAACCTCAATATGCAAAAATCTTGTCTAATAATTTCCTAAAGAAGAGAAATGTGTATGTTTATATTTGAACTCACTCTTTGTATCACATGAGAATTTTTAATTTTTCTCATGGTAGTGCTAGGACATAAGATGATTTGAAAAAGGAAAATAAAATAAAAATAAGTCAGACAGAAGAATGATTAGAGGAGCTCCCCACCCCCCCAATAAAATGTGTTAAATGATATGAGTGTGACGTGGACAACTGTATAGGAAATATATTTTAATTATAGCTTTGCACAAAACTGAGGCTATAATACTCCAGGTATGTAAGTATACGTATATATGCTACTAAGATTATCCTTAGTGCTAAAGCCTACCATTTAATATTTTTTAAATTTTGCTTTTATATTTGCTTTAGTCTTCTTATGGACTTTAAACTAGCAGATGACTTAGTCTTTCTGAGTTTCATCCCTATTATG